TCTATTTCATCCCATTTGACCAAGTTACTCAGAAGACATTGTAGTTTCAATGGTCTAAAGCTTGTCAAAAAATCTTTCACGAATTGAAGAAGAGGTTGACTATTGCCCCAATTTTAACCTTACAATAATGTACTCAAGGTTTTGTAGCATATTGTGATACATCGAGAGTTTGTTTGGGTTGCGTGTCAATGCAGAATGACAAAGTTATAGCTTATGCCTCTAGACAATTGAAGGTACACGAAAAGAATTACCCAACCCATGACTTAGAGTTGGCTTCCATAGTATTTGCTTTGAAGATATGGGATCATTATTTGTATGGTGTGCATGTAGATGTGTACACCAATCACTAGAGCCTTTACTATGTGTTTACTTAGAAAGAGTTTAATCTTAGACAGAAGAGGTAGTTAGAGTTACTCAAGGATTATGACATGAGTATTTTTTACCGTGCATGTAAGGCTAATATTGTTAATGATTCTTTTTCCATGTTCTTTATGGGTATTAACCCATGTTGATGAAGAAAAGAGAGAGTTAGCAAAAGATATGCATATATTTGCATGTTTAGGAGTTCCTCTAATGTATTTTACAAAATGAGTAGTGATGAAGAATGGGGCTGAATCATCATTAGTGTCAAAAGTAAACGAGAAGCACGATAAATATCCCATTATTCTTTAATTGATGGGAAATAATCATAAGCAAAATTAATTGATTTTGAACAAGGCGTAGATGGTGTGTTGAGGTATGAAGGTAAAGTATATGTACCTAAAATGGATGAACTCCAACAGAGGATCATGGATGAAGCTAATAACTCCAGATATTCCATTCATTCGGGTTCCCCAAAAATGTATTGCAAATTGAGAGAAATCTATTGGTGGAATTGTATGAAGAAGGGCATTCCTGAATTTGTTGCTAAATGTTCGAACCGACAACAAGTTTAAATAGAGCACCAAAGGCCCGTTGGTATGGATCAGAATATAGGACTTCTGGAAAAGAAGTAGGAGTTGATCAATATGGATTTTATCACGAGTTTACCAAGGTCTCACAGAAAGCATGATAACATCTCGTAAACTGAAATAGCTAGGATTAAACTAAGGAACTAAGAATAGTTATTTTTGGAAAGAAAAGGAGTGGAAATATTTTGTAAGTGTAAAAGTAAATTTTTCGCCAATTTCAAACAGCCATAACTTCTAGATCATGACGAGTTAGGGCCATTTATTTATATGGTTGGTAATCGCTAGAAGGGATTTTTCCAACGCCACCGAGTTTATGAAATTTTGATATCGTATGAGGGAGATATGCCTAATGAAAGTTCGGCTATTAGATTGAGGTAAATCCAATCCGGATTTTTTTAAGGGTTAAGTGGTCGTTTTACCTTACTATTTCCTAATTTGTTTTAAGGGTTTATTAGGGGTAAAACTAAGCCTTATATCAGTTTTTAGAAGATTGAATACATTTAGGGCTAGGAGAAAGGAGAAGAGAAGAATGAGAAAGAAGAAAAGACCAAGATTTCGCCAAGATCTTTGATGAGTTTCGTTGGGGGTGATACCTTTTAAGGTATGTGAGAATTTTTGTGTTTGGTTCTTCCACCCACACAACAATACTTTTAATTCAATGCAATTAAAGTAAATTTAATGATGAACATTGATGTTCTTGATGAAAAATGGTTGAATTCTTGTTGATTAAATTGTAGTATACGTTTGGTTGTTTGATTCATGGTTCCGGGCTGTTTTGAGTGTCTAAACTATTGGGTATTGAGGATATTAGTGATCCTAAGTAATTGGGGTGAGATCCATGGGATTTTAGAAGGTTTAGAATTGAGAATCGGAGAAGAAAAGTAAGAAATCTCGTCTGACAAGCCCTGGGGCGCCGCGCCTACCATTTCCCCTCAGGGCAACTCTATTTAACAGGGCCTTGCACAGTGCGCCAGCTAGAGATTCTCAGGATAGTCTCTGCCCTTCAAGCTTTGGCGGCCCGCGCCTCTTAGAGCGCCAGGGTCACGTGGAGATCCCATTTTCCCCCATATTTTTGTACGAGTTCCTAAGTGATGTACCTACAATTCCTAGTTGAATCCAACACTCTAAAGTATATCTAAACATCAAGAAATCATCAATAAACATGAGATCACATTCCTTGCATCCATAATCAAATTCAAGGAAAGTTAAGATCAAAGTCAAAGAAGTTAAGAGTTAAGTCTAAAAGTTAAAAAGAAAGTAAAAGTGAGTTTTAAAAGTTTTAAAGACTCTTAAACAAAAAAATTTACTTTGTTTTGAGGCTCATGCTACAGGTTGAGCAAAGAGTAATTATTTGCGTTTAAATCTCAAAAGTTGTAAGGGAGCTAAGTATTCGCTAAGAGTTAAGTATCAAGTAAAGTAAAGATCAAAGAGTGAGTTCATTTATCAATATCTATAAGGGAACTAAGTAGTCCCTTAGAGTATAAATGTTTTCACATTTGGAGAAAGAAATGAATCTAGACTTCCACAAAGCCTTTGGCTAGTTTTAGAAAATGGGAACTATGATTTCCAAGGGAGGTTTTAAAGCTATGTTTGAGTAATTACCTCAAACAAGAGAAGAAGTTGTTTTAAAAACATATGAGCTACGTATTTTGGGAGTAGTATTGAGCACTGATATAGGGACACGAGTTCATATCAACTCAATTATCCATAAACCATGTAGCCAGCTTTAACGGATAAAGAATCATACATTTTACATGATTCCTTAGTGCTTTTTAGAATAAATTAGTGGATCCACTTAGTAGTTCAGTAGCTATTCCGACAGCAAGGTATAGGGAGGTCCTGCTGCAACGTGAGGTAAGATGTTGTGCCATCGCTTAGGCTCATAGTGATAGTTGACGGTTAGAAAGTCTATAACAGAAAGTATATTACTTTCATATCTAAGTAAAGTTGAGTTTATTATTCCATTTCCTTTCATGAACTAAGTGTTTACATTGTTTTACAAGGTTTATATATATACTTATGATTATCCGACTAAATACGGAGGTCCTCATAAAGCTTTTTGACAGAAAAAAATGTAGGTGCTTGGCGCTAGATCCATATGATATACATGAAAAATAATATAAATTTCACAAATTCTAAAAAAATGTCTGTACATACGAAAATAGGCTACATAAAAATAGTGTGAGTATAGATGATGATTCCCCGAATCAATAAGGAGGTCCTCATACATTTTTTTAGAATAAAATTTTGGGTGCTCCGAGCGCTAGAACCGTGGACTAATACAATAAAAAAATTGAGAAATTTGTGTAATTCTTAAAAAGGGTATGTATATACGGAATAGGCGTGAAAAAATGAAGTGAGTATACGTTATTGTTCCCCAACTCAACACGGAGTTCCTCATAAAGTTTTTTGAAAAATAAAATTGGGTGCTCTAGACACTAGATCCATGGATCAATACACATGAAATATTGAAAGATTTATATGATTCCCAAAAAAGGGCCTGTAGATACGGAACTATGCATAAAAAAATGGTGTGAGTATACGTGATGTTTTTCCAACTCTATATGGAGGTCTTCATAAAGATTTTTTAAAAATCATATTTGGGTGCTCCCGGCGCTAGATCCATAAGTTAATATACATGAAAAATTGAAAATTTGCATGATTCCTAAAAAGGTCTGTAGATGATGAAATGGACGTGAAAAAATAGGTATGAGTATATGTGATGGTTACAAATATAATACGGAGGTCCTCATAAAGTTTTTTAGAATTTTTTTTGGGTGCTTCTATTCCAGATCCATGGGCTAATAAACATGAAAAATTGAGAAATTTGCGCAATTCCTAAAAAAAGGGTTTGTAGATGTGAAAATGATCTTGAAAAAATGGTGTGAGTATACCTGCTGACTCCTGGACTCAATAAGGATGTCCTCATATTTTTTTTTGAATAAAATCGTTGGTGCTCTGGGCGCGAGAATTGTGGGCTAATACACATGAAAACTGAGGATTTTTGTGTGATTCGTTAAAAGGGCTTGTAGATGCGAAAATGGGCATGAACAAATGGTGCGAGTATATATGTGATTGTTTCCCTACTCAATATAGAGGTCATCATAAAGCTTTTTGAGAAAAAAATGGGTGCATTGGGCATCATATCAATGGGCTAATCCATACGAAAAATTGAGGAATTTTTACGTGATTTTTAAAAGAGGGCCTGTAGATGCAAAAATGGACATGAAAAAACTGTGTGAGTATAAGTGATGGTTCCCCCACTCTATACGGAGGTGCTCATAAATTATTTTGAGAAAAAAAGATTTTGGGTGCTCTAGGAGCCATATACATGAGCTAATTACACACAAAAATTGAGAAATTTACACGATTTCTAGAAAAGACATGTAAATGCGGAAATACGCGTGAAAAAAATGGTGCGAGTATATGTGATGATTTTCCAACTCAATTAAAAGAAAAGATGACCTTATTCCTTTATCATCGATGATATTAATATCTTATACTTTCTTTTGGTTACCCAGAAACTATTTACGTTCTCAAATGTGATTTCCTTTACATAAAACATGGAATTAATAGAGATGTTTTAGCAACAATGAAAGTTATATAAAGAATATGCAATGCAAATTAGGTCAAAAAGAGTAGTTTTAATTAGAGACTTAAACTATACAGGTCAAGTTTGTGCAAAACCTTGAAGAACTCATCAGTCACTCTAATCCTATATATGTTCATATATAAATTAGTTAAAAAATCAGTCAATATGAAATTCGACAAGCTTTAATTGAATCATATTTACAAATATAATTGTTTGGGAGCATGAAACATGAAGTACTTATATTTTGTAATTTGTACTTATTGTAGTTCGTATCTTATAGTGTGTTTATCTCTAATTGTTGGGTAAGACTACAATTTTATTTTTTTTAATAACTAATCCATTGAACAATGAAAACATGAATATGTATACAGAAGAATCCAAATATCCCATATCGGCAAATAAAAAAGATGGAGATGGAAGAAAAAGGTATAATAATGGGCCAACTAGAATGAAGTAACATACTAAACTGGATGGGGTCATTTGGTGATCATTAAGGCATGGCCTAGGCTTGTTGCCTTTATTGAAATTTGGAGTGGTGCTTGCCTAATGTCGGCCCAAGTGGTCGAGTCTACGTTATAATTTGTTTATGAGGGGGCCTGCTTTCGTGCGGCCCCTACCAATTCTTGTTTATTCTTTTGTGGGCTGTGGATCTAAATAATTTTTGTGTTGCTAAGTGGCCACTCTCTACCCCAATGTAGTTGAATTTATATAACAGCTAAGATAGTTTTAACTGAACCTATGCTAAAACTAACAGCAGGTAAGAACATGAGCAATCTCAGGATATATATATTATTTAATACTAATTACACTAAAGATATGTAAATCATATCATATATATTATTATAAATGGGAAGCTCCAACCTTCAAAGTTGGATTATCATTTTGCCCCTCCACTAAATCAAAATAGATTAATTTATTTTTAAATACTAATATTTAATTACATAATGGTATAATATGAAATCCAACAACTACACTTTAGTTTTTTAGTTATGACATTATAATTGTAAATAAATAGGTTAAATTAGAGTAGAAAACAATAATGTGTGGAACTCTTCGAATTTTGTGATTCTTTGAATTTTGAAATTAACATAAATTTATCTTATCATAAAACAATAATGTATAAAACTCTTCAAAGTTTGTGATTCTTTGAATTTAGAAACTGAAATAAATGTATCTATCATGATTTTATGTGCCCCATTAAAAATTTTTGGTAGATGAAAAGGCAATCAAATATCATTATAAATGCCAGTTAATTGCTTCCTAGGTCATCACATTCCTTTTTTTTCTATCATCTACTTTTTTTTCTTCTTCCTCAATTATGATATGAGTACATGTCGTCAAGAAGCTAACTGGGGAGAAGAACAAATAGCTTCATTCTGAAATTAAAAGACAAGCAAGAGAAGTTTTCTTACAGTATAATTCAACGGTTATACTTAACAGTATAAGATATGACTTATATATTTCTTTAGATCATTTTTATGTTAGATTACGATTTTAAGTTTTTCGTTTTCATTTTGGAGATAAGGTATGGTTGTACAAAATGGATTTTGTATGCAACCCATATTTTTATGTAATTATGTACTTGTATTGTTGTGAAAAAAAATTTCTTTGTATTTTGTGTTATTATGCTTTTAAGGGTGTGTTTGGTATGAAGGAAAATGTTTTTCTAGAAAATGTTTTCTTGGAAAACAAGTAGATTTTGGACTTATTTTCTCATGTTTGGTTGGTGCGCAGAAAATATTTTCGGAAAATGATTTTTATTGTTTAATTTATGAATGAAAAATGTTTTTGAGGAACATCTTTTATTTTTTCTAGAGTAGAAAATAATTTATGAAATTGAAAATATTTTTTAAAAATACTTTTTTTTGAGGTAGTGGTGATGGGAGTGTGGGGGGATAGTGGGGGTGGGGGCAGGGGAAGGGGGTACAAGTGAAAAAATAAAAATTTGAAATTGATAGTATTTTTAAAAAGCAAAAATATTTTTTTCGGGGGTTGAGGTTGGGGGTTGAGGGGGCTGGTAGGGGGGGTGTAGGGGGATGTAGGAGTTTAAAAATAAAAATTTAAAGTTGAAAATATTTTTAAAAAGCAAAATTAATTTTTTGGATAGGGTGGTTGGGGGGGAGGGGAGGTGGTTAAGGATCGGGTGAAAAAATAAAATTTTGAAATTGATAAAATTGATGTTTTTTCGAAAAAAAAATTATTTTGAAATTGGAGGAGAGCTTTGGAAAATGTTTTCCTTAATTTTTTAAGGGAAGTCATTTTCCATAATTTTGAGGAAAATGAGTTGATTTGGAAAACATTTTCCAAAACTTTTGCCCCAACCAAACATGTGAAAATTGGAAAACATTTTCCTTCATACCAAACAAACTCTATGTGATATTTAATTGACAAAACATCAATTAATATAATACATGACGAATTTGATAATATTTGAATAGTTTATGCAAAATATGTTTTTGTTTAAATAGAAGTAATTTATATATATATATATATATATATATATATATATATATATATATATTCGTGGGACTAATGGGAAAGGCACGTGTTAAGAACTAGTATTATGAAATAAAGAAACTTTTAATTAAATGAATACTAAAACTGTAATTCAAACCAACCCATATATAGTCGGGTTCTTTTTTCGATACCAAGCTAAATCAAACCAAACCACTATCCAAGTTTTTTTCCGATTTGACTCATTTTGTGGTTGTTTCTGTTATCGATTCGATTTTGTACACTCCTAAGTGTTGGTGGACAGAATGAACCCTCCTCTCCGCTAAAGCGAAACATCACATTTATGCAAAATGCTGTAAAAATGTAATACATAACGAAGTGGGCTCATATGAACTCACTTGACCAACTGTAGGTCCACCCAAGATGGTGGAGCCAACATTTTTTGAAGGGCGTGCAAAATTTAAAGAAGCAACTAACCAAAAAAATTTAGTGAGTCAGTTCATATCTATTTTGCTCAATACAACGACTTTATCATCGATCAAGAACGTCATTAAATTTTCTATTCTCCTCTTAAATTCATCAAATTTAGAGAAAGTGAAGGCATATCAGTGGTGGCGCCCATATATTTCTCTCTTTGTCATGTAATTTGGCGGTTGCTTACATGTTACATAATTTGCATTGTGAAATAATATAATCTATTGAAAAATTCTTTTTAACTAACTATTGAACCATAATTTAAGTATTTTAATAGTTTATAACAAATGTATAATAAGCTTTAGCTAATTTTTGTATATATCATCTATAGGTTCTTCATACAAATTTATCATCTTTGGAAAATAGAAGAACTATTATTTATATAGTGTAAGAAAAAAAAAACTTTTAAAAATAATTAAGGATAGAATCTCTATCTTAGCTAATATATGAATACTCAACAAAAGAATTCTTTTTGCTTGAATTGACTTATTTAAGAAATTAGGTTTGTTACGTTTACAGACTATTTAATTTACATAAATTTCCTTTGCCATACTCAAATATAATGAAAATAGTGAACAAAATTCATATATTAGAGATGAGTAATGGATGGTTAGTCATTCTAATATTTCCTGAAATGATTTAGTGTGAAAAGAAATATATACCTATACTAAAAATATGTAAAGAGAGTTATTCATTCAACCTTTTTCCAAAAATGATTTTGTGAATATATTTTATTTTTAATCTTTGAATCGCATGTTAATAACATGAAGCTAAAAGTAATAATATGAAATAAAAAAGTAAAATAATAAAGATTTTTTTCTATTAACAAAGTGTATCTTAATATGTATAATTTTTCAATTAGACAATCATCACCAATTTTGTTAACATTTGGCTGCCACTTGGCAACATTTCTTGCTCCTACTCTTACTATAGAAGATTTTCCTTTTAAGTAAATTTATCATTAAACTTAGGCGGATCTTTCTTTACAATGCATTTTTTGTCTTTCCTTAAATAGTGAGCACTCCTTTTCCTTTCTCTTTCAATTTTAGTTGAAAGTCATTTTCTCTCTGGTGGACTAACATATGGCGGCGGGTGTTTATCGGAAGGACACCAACACTGTGCAGCTGGAAGTGATGTCGTCGGATCTTACTCCTCTCTCTGGAAATCCCTCTCAATGAATATGGTATATAATCAACCATGTATCTGTTTAAAATCCTATTGAGAAAGAAGAGGCAATTAGGATTTCTACATATTTTTCGCTCAATAGGGTGGATCTATAGAAATTAGGGTTTTGACATTTATTTTTTAGTTAAGAATTTAATTTTTATGACTTGTAGAAACTAGGATTTATTCATGTACTTTTTCAGTCAAAAACTTAATCGTTATGACTTGTAGATACTAGGGTTTATTAAATCAGTCAAAACTTAATTTTATGGCTTGTTGAAAATAGAGTTTGTTCATTTGCCTTTTTAATTAAAAACTTAATTTTTATGCTTTTTGTTGTGGTTTGTGTAATATAGTTATGATAGGAATTTAGAATACTCACCAAGAATGTCCTTTATACTCATCGAGAAAGTCTTTGGTATTACTGAAGTAAGTGAAAGAAATAAAAAACAAAGTTGTAGTATATGTTTGAAGTCCGCGTGAATAGGGCAATGCAATTTCTTTGTGCTGAATATTAGAGCTATTTTTATAGCTTTTATACAGTAGATGAACCTTTTGGTGTAAGGGCTTATTTAGTAATGGTGAATCTATAGTATCCCATTGAGGTTGATAGTCAGTGTATAACTAGCTAAAAAGAGAAGAGAATTCCATCACATTGTCACCTGGATACTAGCAAGGTTTCTTGTATGTTAGCAACGATTCCTGCATCTTAAACAATTCACATCAGTCCTGATGTGTTGCAAGATTGCTAGGAAATGATTTCAATCATCATGGGAAGATGATGATAAAAGGTGATAGTCCAAGAGAGTTTAAATTAGACTAGTGTTGAACGGAGTATGAAGCGAATAAAATCAACAATGTCTTGCTTCACTTTGAGTGAAGCGAAGTGTTTGCTTCACCAAAGTGGAGCACACTGTATAAAGAGAGAAAGACTAACACACATTTTAAAGAAAGACTAAAATAGACCTTATACAATGACAATAAATATAAGGAAATCTTCAATTTTAATTGCTAATATATGTATCACAAAGTTCTTCAAAATACAAGAAAAATCAATATTAAAATAGAGACTTCAGCAATCCAAGGGTGGATCTAGGGGTTTTTTCCAGGGGGTATATATATGATAAAAATATATTATTATCTTTTTTTTGTTGCATTACAGTAAATATAGAAAAAGTAATGAAAATATGTTTAAATAAATCAAAAGAAAGAGAGAGAGACAGCGCTATAAATCATGAAAAGCACTAAAAATATTACTAAGTTCACAATCATATATGTATATGTATATAAATATTTAGGAATTCTTTTTAATACATATATACTAAACCTTATTTGGTTATGTTAGGTTGATGTTGATATTTTGTTGCACTTAATTTTACTATTCTTTTCTTGTTGGGTTTCAGTGCTAACTGATATTTGTTTGTGCTGATTTTCCCTTTTAGAAGCTCCAGAAGATATGCTTCCTCCAAATGCTAGCAGTACATTGTATGTAGAGGGTTTGCCTGAGGACTGTACAACAAGAGAGGTGGCACGTATCCTTTTCTTGTGTGGAAATTAGCTTATTGTTTTATTTATGGCCCATTCTAGTTTTTCCCTTTACTTTAGTTTTTGCAGACATATTCCGCCATTTTGGAGGTTACAAAGAAGTTAGGCTTGTACCAGAACCATCAATATATGTAAGAATATATACGTTTCACATCATCATCTACTAATTAAAAATTCTGTCTACTGATTATCAACTTATATGCAGCCTGGAGTCAATACCTTGATTCATTGCTTTGTTGATTTTGTGAGTCCGCTTCATGCAGTTGCTGCAATGGATGCCTTACAAGGTGAGCTTCACACCCTCTTTTTTCTACCTCATAATTATGAATGCTCAATTTATAATTAATCAGAGTACTAAAAAAATCAATGTTGTGTGAATATTCTAAAATTTTGGTCTTTAAACTTTCGTACAAGTTGAAGGACATTTCATGAATGCTTGACAGAAAATTTTCGGACAATTTGCTAGTGTACATCGATCTATGAAAGAGAAATTTGTTGGGATATTGGTGCAGTAAGACTAATCAAATCTTGCATGTTATAAATTCGACCTTGATGAGCATGATTCAGGCAACTTAATGCTGCAATTTGCTCGCAATCCTGGTGTGACATCAGCTGAAGGAGATTGTTGAAACTATGTGTATTTACAGGTACAAACCTTTGGTGCGCTTGACCCTTTTATTATCGATGACCATAACATACGGTTATATTAAGTTACTAAATTGTGGAACTATACTTTTGTGTAGGACCTGCCATGTTTTGAGAGCGAAGTTATGATGCAAGCGTGTTTCTCTGATCATGTATATTAACTGTAGCTGGTGCTTAGCAGTTTGAAGACAAAGTTGCTTGTCAGATCAAATTGTTTAAATTTCTTTTTAAATTCGCTATAACTTATGACATTATCAACTTGTGCTCTGTTGTTTAGTGTCTGATTGCTATCATTTGGGTCTCGAGACTTTTTAAGGTTAATCCTTGCTAGAAAGTGTATGTGCTTTAATTTCATGGTGATGGTAATGAAAGCACTTACTATATTTTGTATATTTAGAGTCTCCCAATGTCTATATTATCCATTCTGAATGACCTCCCCCTTACAGTCTCTAAAAATCCTTGTGAAAAACGTAACGACTTTTACCCAGAGGTAGCTATTATCTTACAAAATGCTAACAAGGATTGCTTTTCCAATAAGAACAATGGATTGCAGTAAAGGCTGGAGTAGGAAGCTCTCCATGAATGATAACTTGAGAAAAAAAATTCCTAAACACTAATTCCAATATGAACCAAAACATCAGAAAGAAATCCAAACTCTAGTACTTCTTTCTTCCGCTTTATTGATATTGTTGAATGTTCGGCCTTCACTTGAAAAATTCTCTTGATTTGTGATTTTGCGAAAGACAATTGGTTTCTTCTTTAGCTTTATGCTTGTATAGAGTTTAATTAAACCTTAGTCTCCTTCATTCTTCTCCCAGTTTAACTTGGATTGATGTTTTGAACATGTTTTCCTGTTTTATGAGTGATCTCTTCCCGCCTCTTTATTTTATTTTTGGAACATGTATGTGAACCTGGTTCATGTTTTCATCATCAAAAGTTATTTGAGAGTTTTGTCAAATCATCACTGTTGTCTCGGGTACCAAGTTTGTGTGTGGGCTTCATGAGAGTATCGGGTATGCAATGCAAATTAGGATAAAAAAGAGTAGTATTAATTAAAGACTTAAACTAGACTGATGGAGTTTGTGTAAGACTGTAACGAGCATACTTAGCTTGCAACTAATCAATGCATAATTTTTCCTTTTTGGCGAAATATACCAAGCTACTTAGTATTGAAGAACTCAGTAAACTTTCTAATCCTAGTTTTAGATATAAAGCAGTTTAAATAACAGCCATATGAAACTCTACAAGCCTTAAATGTACCATAGTTATAGACACGAGTGAAAGTAGTAATAGTTTGGGAATTGAGAGCACTAATCACGAAGTAATTTTATTTAGTTTATATCTTAAAGTGCGTTTCTCTCTTAATGTTGGCTAAGGCTACAATCGTTGAGATAATTAGCTAAATTTATGTTTTATCTTCTTTTTAATATTTAATCGATTTAACAATGAAAATTAAAATATGGATACAGAAGAACCTAGTTATCCCACATCGGCCAATAGAGAAGATGGAGACGAAAGGAGGTATAATCGTGAGCCTAGTAGGATGAATAAGCATACTTACCTGGATGGGGTCAATAGATGATCAAGACGATCCATTGACTACGCTTGTGACCTACATTGCACTTTGGAGGGGTGCCTGCCTAAGGTCGGCCCATGTGGTTGAGCCTACGTCATAATTTGTTGATGAGGGGGCCTGCGTTTGTGCGGCCAAAGACAATTCTAGTTTAATCTTTGGTTTGAATGGACTTCTGATATTCTAGCCCAACGTAGTTGAACAAATATTTTGTTATGCTATATTACTGCTGCTAAGATAGTTTAGTTGGACCTATGCTATAACTAATAATATGTAAGATTATGAACAATCTCATGAATTATTATGTATACTAAAGAGCAACATTAGGATGGAGTTGTTCAAATGACCATTTTTATTTCATACTTAATTGTATTGCCCTTTTAATAGAAATGTTAATCAAATTTGGTTTTTTGCAATTTGACTTCAAACTAATAATATAGAAACATTACTTAAAATGTGATAGGAGAAATGTGGGCCTCGCCTGTCTACTACTTGAACTTAAGTAACTACAGTTAGGAGAAAGGTATTTGAGGCGATTCGATCGGTTTATCTATCTTCTAATAAACATGAAAATTGAAAAATTTACGCGCTTTTTAAAAAATGGCCTCTAGATGTGGAAATTAGCGTGAAAAATAGTACGATAATACGTAATGGTTCCCAAAATTCAATATGGAGGTACTCATAAAGTTTTTTTTGAGAAAAACAATTTAGGTTCTCCGTAGGCCAAAACCATAGGCTAATTACATAAGAAAACTTGACTAACTTGCGTAATTCCTAAAAAGGGCTTGTAGATGTTGAAATTGGTGTAAAATATTGACGTAAGTATACGTGATGGTTCCCCAACTCAATATAGAGGTCCTTATAAAGTTTATAGAAAATAGTATTTAGGGTGCTCCCGCACCTGATACAATAAAAATGAGGAATTTTCGTAATTTAAAAAATAAATTAGGGTGCTACAGGCGCCAGATCTATGGGCTAATACATACGAAAAATTGATAAATTTACGCGATTCATAAAAAAGGCCTCAAGATGCAGAATTGGACGTGAAAAAAAGGTATGAGTATATGTGATAGTTCTCCTATTTAATATAGAGGTTCTTATAAAAATTTTTGACCAAAAACTTTTGGGTGCTTTGTGGCGCCTGATCCATGGCCTAATAACAACAAAAATTTGAGGAATTTGTGTGATTCCTAAATAGTGACTGTGGATGCAGATATGGATGTGAGAAATAATCCGAGTATACGTTATAGTTCCCAATTCAATACAGAGGCCCTTATAAATTTTATTGATAAAAATATTTTGGGTTCTCCCAACACTTTGTCCATGGCTAATAGACACAGAAAAAATTAAGGAATTTGCGCAATTTCTTAAAAAGAGAAAGTTGACTCAAAAGTGGTGTGAGTATATTTGATGGTTCCCCAACTCAATATGTAGGTCCTCATAAATGTTTTTGAGAAACTTTATTTGGGTGCTTCGGGCGCCAAATTTATGGGCTAATTAATACATTCTAAAAGGTTACAAATTTGCGTGATTCCTAAAAAAGGGCCTGTAGATGAGGTAATGGACGTAAAAAAATAATTTGAGTATACATGATGATTCCCTAACTCTATACAAAGGTCCTTATTAATTTTTTAAAAGAGAAATTTGGGTGCTCGAGACACCATATCCATGGTCTAATACATACGAAAAATTAAGGAATTCACGCAATTCCTAAAAAATGGCATGTAGATGTGAAAATAAGAGTAAAAAAAATGTGTGACTATACAGGATGGTTCCCAACTTAATACGAAAGTCCTCTTAATGTTCTTTGAGAAAAAAAGGAGTATTTCGATCCCCAATTCTTCAGGCTAATACACACAAAAAATTGAGTAATTTGCGTAATTCCTAAAAAAGGGCCTCTAGATGCTGAAATGGATGTGAAAAAAATGGTTTTAATATGCGTGATGGTTCCCAACTCAATATAGAAGTCCATAAAGATTTTTGAGATTTTTTTTTGAGTGCTTTGGGCACCACATCAATAGGCTAATACACACAAAAAACATAGGAATTTCTGTGATTCCAAAAAAGGTATGTGAATGCGGAAATGGACGTGACAATAAATATGTGAGATTATACGCGATGGTTGCCCAACTCAATATAGACGTTCATATAAAAAAATTTGGGAAACTAATTGCGTGTTTCGGACGCTAGATCCATGAGCTAATGTACATAAAAATTGAGAAATTTGCGCGATTCCAAAAAGAAGTCCATCAAATAAAAAAATGGGCGTGAAAAAATATGGTGTGAGTATACTTGATGGTTCCCCAACTCAATACAGAGGTACTGATAAAATTATTTTAGAAAAAATATTGGAGTTCCTGACGCCAGATCCATGGGCTTATACACGCAAAAATTGATGAATTTGCGCAATTTTAAATAAAGGGCTTGTAGATGCAGAAATGGGCGTGAAAATTTTAGTGTGATTAAATTTTATGGTTCCCCAACTAAATATGGAGGTTGTTATAATTCTTTTTGGGAAAAAAGATTGGGTTCTCCGAAAGCCATATTCATCGGCTAATACAAACAGAAAATTGAGAAATTTATGCAATTACTAATAAAGGGCTAGTAAATGAGGAAATGGATATAAAAAATAGTGTGAATATACATGATGGTTACTCAATAAGTATGTACTCATAAAGTATTTTGAGAAAAATAATTTTGGGTGCTTCGGGATCCAGATCCATGGAGTAATACATACGAAAAATTGATGAACTTATGCGATTCCTAAAAAAAGGCATGTAAATGCGCAAATAAGCTTCAAAAAATTGTGTGAGTATACATGACTGTTTCCGGTCCTCATAATGTTTTTTAAGAAAAAATTTGGGTGTTTTGTGCGCCAGATCCGTGGGCTAATACACACGAAAAATTGAGATATTTGCATGATTCCAATAGGGCATCTAGATACGGAAATGTGTGTGAATGAAATAGTGTGAGTATACGTGATGGTTCCCAGACTCAATACTAAGTTCTTCATAATGCTTTTGATAAAAAGAATTTGGGTGTTTTGGGCTCCAGAGACACACGGGCGAATACAC